CGCTGCAGTGCCGAGGGCCCGTCGCAAGCGCTGATCCGCAGACCCGCGAGACGTCCTCCGGCGAAATCCAGTCATACGTTGCCTCGGGGTAGGGCAATTTCAGCTCGTCGCCTGCAAATAGCTCGCTCCACCATAAAGTATTAGTAACGAAATATCCCGCTCGAACAGCGAGGTAATTCTCGGCGCCGAAAACCTCTTGGAGGTTAAGCTCAACCTGCCAATGCTCTTGAGTGATCAAATTGGGCGATGGGTTGGTGCCCATATTTTCGGGAATGGAGCCGCTACTAAGGAATACAACGAATTCGATACCGGCAGACTTGAGTGCGACAAGTGCTGACTTCATTCCATCTGGATTTCCGTGGACAATGTATATGAAGGCTCGTTTTGCTCCCGTCTTTTGTACGGCCTCAGTAATGCTCTCAGAGTTCATAAGATCAGCTTGGACTCGCTGGAAGCCACCCTCCTTTTCATTTTCGGGACTCAGACCCGGAATTGGTTTCGTGATATCTCGCACGCCGAGCACTACCTTGGCTCCCTGCTCTTGCGCTACGCACGCGGTTACAGACCCGATGCGGCCTGTCGCACCAAAGACTATGACAGTATTTGATGCCATGATGAAAATGGGGTGCCGTCTTCCTTTACCAGCATTGAATCGGGAAAAGATCCTGGCGCGTGTCTTAGTCAATACACAAATTGTAAGTCACACTAATATTTTGGTGGTGAGGTTGCGTGTCAATAGCTCAATTCAAAACCCTGAGGATTCAATGTAGACATATATATATTCAATTGAACTGTAGACGCCGCAGGATTGCATGGGATCTTCGAACTAGTTCCTTCGCTTGGCAGAGTCAACACACGCTCGCACATTGAACTCCTTGTTATCTCCGGTTGCCTCACAAGGAACCGTGCCGCATGGCAAGCATAACCGACCATCACCGACTTCATCGAACCCATTGCAGTAGCTGGGTTGTCGGAAGGATCCGTGTAAGAAGGTTTTTCCAACCGGCTTGGGAGATTCGTAACTTCTACCTGCGAACTTGAATATTATCCAAGGTCTCGAAACAAACGATCGTGTCGTTCTGAAATTGTGCTCTCAATTGCTGAGAACTCCAAGAACGACTACAAATATATAATTCCCTCCAGTTGCTCAATCACCAATCATTCTCCAGCAACCCGTCTTTCTCATCAAGTACTTTCATATCGTCGTCCGAAATTTCAAATCCGAAGACATCACGGTTGTCTTGCATTCTTTCTTTCGTCGAGCTTTTAGCAAGTGGAATCCAACCCTTTTGAAGACTGTAACGGATAAGAATCTGTGCGGGCGACTTTCCATACTTCTCCGCGCATTGAACAATCGTAGGATCCTGGAATTTCTCGCCTTCGGCTAGAGAGCTATATGCCTGTATCATTATGTTTTGTTTCTTGCAATAGGCATCGAGCTCCTTCTGCTGGATCCAGGGGTTGAGCTATGAATGTCAGGTGTCGATGCTCGCCGGGGAAAGCAATGCACAACTCACAAATATCTGGTTCACATGAGGTGGCCAGATCCTCGCGTACTCTTTCATCTCCTCGATGTGCTCGATTTCATAATTGCTAACACCAATGCTCTTTGCTCTACCCTCTTCGTAAAGTTGCTCAAGTGCAGTCCACATTGCCTTTCTAGCTTCGGGCCCACCGTGGGGAATATGCACGAGGAAGAGATCCACGTAGCCGTCATCTCCGGCAATCTTCTTGACACTGTCAAGGGCTTTCTGGTAGGTCTCCTCTTTGTTCGAGCCCGGCTGCCCGATCTTGGTCGTCAAAAAGACCCCTGATCGCTCCACTCCGGATTGCCTGACTGCTTCACCCACTTCTGCCTCGTTTCTATACAGCTGGGCGGAGTCAATATGCCTGTATCCTGCTTCAAGGGCCAGTAGGCAGGCTTGTAGACAATCTGTGGGCTTGATTTGATAGACGCCGAACCCCAATCGAGGCATTTTTGCCGAACTGGGCAACATCACCGTGTCTTCGCTCGACATCCTCGCTGCGCTACTGACCTAACGGGTTTGCTGATGTCTTATGTGGAAACCAAGAATGGCACGAATGATTCTTGACTCGATAAGCCGTCTAATTTGATTGTAGGGGAATACTGCCAATCTTTAGAGGTTCAAGGTGAACTGGCGTCGGGGTATTGTGATAAGAGGATTGGTCTGAAGATCATGGTATGTTGCCTGGAGTATCTGTAACAGACAAGAGATTGCGGTGCGTTTATATAGGGAAATGCGAGATAGCCAATAGGGTTTCACTGGCGTGTCAGTAACTGCCTAATTGGATCAAGGTGCAGAAATGCCAAGTGTAAAATGATTCGCACTGTATCTTGTCTATCTATCCCGTTAATACGACTTCTATATCTGAACCTCTTTAGTTTCTGGAGTGGCCAAGGCCGGTCCAGCATCTCGACGTTCAAATGACGTTCTCCCGTCTTCAAGGTCCGCTTGTTGTTCTTCGCCTTCTTCTTTTTTCAAATCCTTTCGTAGGTACCATTTGAAGAAATAAACCAATATCTGTGCCAAGAAGACCTGTTCAATCGTGTAAAGAAGCACCGGTATCTGTATGTAAGCCCGAGTGAGGTTGTCGGCATGAATCCACATAGCAGTCGAAAGTGGTATTCCCAGACTCGTGGTTTTCGCGGCACCGCAGAAACACACAGCTATCGTCTGGACTTTTGACATTTGTTTGAGCGTAACAGCACGCCTGAGGAAGTTAGGGGCACGCTTGAGTGCTTTAGATTCTCCGATACGAGGGTTGACAGCTCGAATTAGAGTAGTCGGAGGCCGTGCCATGTAAAAACAAAATAGTGTATAGATCATGTACATTGCGATATTCATGAATATGTCAAAGATGATCGAGGCTTTCGGCAGCATGAACAAGGCGCCTGTCTGGAAGGCACCTGAAAATGTCGTCCTGTGTACCTGAAGTCAGTCTTTCTGCTTGCGTATCATAGCCTATATCTACTCACCACACGAGGAGAATCAGACAAAAGCCCGAGATCTTAGCCAGATAGAATTTCTCCAAAAGCCACTTCACTGGCTTCTCCCAGTAGTATCGGACGACTTGTCCCACAAGCAGTGGCAGTAGGACACTCAGACCGAGTTGTTTAGCCACATCACCGTACATGCCCCCGAGTGTGCTGGGTGATGCAGGCCTCCAGGCATCAAATTCCGGTTGTGAAGGGAGGTAGGCATAGACCAGCAATGGCGACAGGAACGAGCCGAACATATTTCCCAAGACTACCTCGATGATCGCTGCAGCATCGTCGCCTCCAGCATTGCGTGTCATGACGACATTCGAAGCAATTGTAGTTGGTAAAGCGCTAACAACAATCATGCCAACTAGGACACTGATATCAATAGAACCGGATGTCAGATCACCAGCTGCGATGACTATTTGCACGACGGCTGGGACGGAATTAGTAGATTCGCGACATGGCTATACGATGAGTTATTCACCTAGTTGAAGAAGAGGAATCAATACAAAGCTTATTCCTTGAGTAATGACGTGCAGTCTCCAATTGGTGAGGTTGGCCCGGAGCTTTGAATGTGGGAGTTGCAATCCGCTGACGAGGAAGATGAATCCAACAGCTCCATACAGAATGCTGTACTCAGACTTGATTATGCCACCGTGTGCGGCAACATCTGTTCATGACTTATGGTTAGCAAGTCGCTCACACCACCGCTGAAGGTGCCACTGAAGGCTGTTCAACTCACTCGGGGCAAAATATGCCACTAGGCAGCTGAGTCCAAATCCAATCACGAGCCATTGCGCAATGATAATTCTGAATACTCTGAGCGCGAAAGCGACATATTTGTTGCTCGGCTGGCCCTTTCTAGCCTCTCCCTCTACGGATGATCCGCCAACCATGATACTCGAAGAGGTGACAAGTCTCGACTCATGACGAGTAAGTGGGCTATTCGGTGTTGAGAATGATACTCAGCCTTGATGGTAGATTGCCTGAACCATGAGATATTCTCTGGCATCACCTAACGTTATGGGTGTCTAAAGCAGAACTTGAATGCGTCAACATTTCTTTCGAGGATGGCGTATGTGAAGAGAGATATGACGGCGATTTCGCCGGTTATTACCGGGCAAACCCGATCTCGGGCGGGACTTGACCAAATATTAGGACAAGACAAGAAGGCGAGATACGGCGCTAAACCAGGTTTACCACTTTTGGCGCTTGGCAGGTGTTATTCAGCATTTCTAGAAGTTGGAATAGGTGTTCAATGGCCTCTCGGAAGCCGGCCGTGGAAGACTGGTGCCGAGAGGACGGTAACTAGATTCAATCGGAGCCGTCTTGGAAACTCTGATGTGACCCCCGACTCTGCCGCCCGCTCCTCCGCTCCGTCCTCCGGGACTGGTTAATGTCTCGATGAACCGCCCGAACTTGCCAATGCTTTGGCCATGATTTGCGCGATAGTTCTTCTACGAAAGCAACACTCCTATGATGGCCCCGAGCACAAAATGCTCCAACGCTCAGTATCGGGACATCATCGGCGTTTTCTCCGTCCTCGCTAGTGGCAGCTGTAGCGATCTTGGCACCAGTCTGTAAGCCCTCCAAAGCATTTGTTATCTGCAAGCCCTCGGACGACTTGTCCTCGACTTCAGCTTGACCATGCGCCTGCCATTGTGCAACCACAATTTCCATTTGAGCATGAATATCAGCCTCCGCCCGGTCCAGTAGGGCAACGAAGCCTTGTTGAGAAAGCATATGTTCTCTCAAGCGCTTGGAAGTGCCCTTGTGCCTATCGCGGATTTCCTTGGGCGGATTCCTGGTCGATCGCAAATCATATTTCAGGTCTGGCGCAGGCTGTAAGGGGGGAGCGTGTGCATGAGACGTTAGGAGTAGGATGGGGGTCTCTTCCGTACCCCCATCTTGTCGGCTGTCGCCTTGTGACTCGGCTGTCGGTGCGTTGTCAATATCCATGGCTTGCGAGGTTCTCGCACTATAATGACAATGAAGGAGGAGGGATGGAAGCTTTCAGTGGGCAGCACATTTATTTTGATGCTGTGTAACAGGGCGGAGCGCCGGCACATGTCAGCTCCCCCGTCGCCCTGGCTCTTCTCCCATGTCTCATCACTACAAACTCCCGCCACACTTGAGTCCTACGTCTGACCAAAACAGGCAACTCTGTCAATTATGCCTTGTGGATAGACGCCACCTCCACACCGAACGGCTCGGCCAGCAGACCGATGAGAACTACTGCAGGCCTTCCCGTAGTGATTTGCGGGGAGCTGGGACCGCTGCAGCCCTGTAGTCGTCATGCTCATTCTTTGCGCGGAGGCACAGCCTCGTTTCTTATCTACACTTATACCTAGGGACAGGTTGCTTTTCATATTGTAATGTTCTGATTCACAGCTATATGAGAGCTCTGGTGTCTCTGAGAACTTAAGCCCTTGGACATAGCGTGGTAAAGTCTTTTTCTTACTATGCTATGAACCAAGATATAAAGTAGCTGGAGAATTATCTATACATCTCCTATTATTCCTTGCATTGAATACATATTGCCTAGTTGAAAATGGTCTGGAGCAGAATATCAGTTGTGAACTTCGACAGGGACAACGTGACCGTCGGGCCCCCCATCAAATCTAAGAACGCACTCGACGAGCATTTCAACACTCGTCCTCAGGGATCGGCTAATCGACACTTGTATCTCGTCGAGCTCCAACAGAATTTCGCTGACGGCTCAATTCCCAATGAAGGACATGTCGACACCAATCTACAGGAGTTGATAGATATATTCGGTCAGCAACTCCAGGTGCCAGAGTTGTTCTTCGAGGACCATCTTGATGATGGTCTACGTTTCGGCTACATCTCAGATGTTCGCGACCCTGTCCTTCCCTCAAGCTTGAATCCTCGCAGGCAATTCCATCTCGAGTATCCAGAACCTCGAACACTCGACCCAACGGAGGTTGCGTTTCTCAGAGATGACGAGGCGTTCGTGGCGACATGCTCTTTGACGGGTCGGGATATCCTGTGCCACGAATGGAAAAAGGGGGAAGTTCTTCTCACGACTTCTCGGAAGTGCTCTTTCTGGTCGAAACTCAGCGATGATAGCGTCACTTTAGGATGGGATGGTAAGTTTGCTTGTGCCCTTTCACTCTTGATTCGTGTACTAAACTGACGTTCCTGTAGCGGTCATCCTTTGCGACCCTTCCGCAGTGGAAGGCCGTGTCAAAGGATCAACATTGATCTTGAAGCCGAACAAGTCATTTCCCTTTCCCGAAGGTTTCAATGTTGCCACATCCCGCCGGACCAGTCGCACGCGGCCGGGTCAACCTCGCCCAGGGCATGCTTCCATCTTCGATGATTTATGCTTCTACTACAGTAACCACAGCGACAAGCTGGGCGACGTCTCTGATCCGATGGCTGCCTCCCTATTCGCCAAGAAGATCGTTACCTCACACTATGCACACATCCTGGGGTTTGTTTCCCATCAGACAAGCAGTATGCGTGCTCGGGGATGGTCTCTCAAGAGGGCGAACCATCAGGAAGTCGATGAGTCCAGGGAGGTCGAGAAAGAATGGAGCCAGTACAGAGGAGGTGAGTTCATGGAGTCTCTGGCCACGAACCTCGACCAGCTTGGCATTCCACTCCTGCACAGCTCAGGCGACACCGGCGTAGTGGCGCACTACGGCGACTGGACATCGATTGATGTCGATCTGCAATATCTTTACATGACATTCGATTTGCGCCGTCGTGACTACGACCGCATCACCACCTCCATCGCGGCTTTTGTAGGGATGAAGGAGGCCGAGCGCTCGCTGAACGTCGCCAAACTGACAACATACTTCGCCCTTGTCCTAACTCCGTTGGCGTGGATGGCAAGTTTCTTCTCGATGAGCCCCAGATATCTGCCCGACGGTGACCTAAAGTGGGTGTATTGGTTGGTTTCGTTTGCCACTATTGCGATGAGTCTCGCCATCTACCGGCTTGGAAACATAATTAGGCTCAGGGATGTACGGTTGGACAAGTTGGTGAACGATCCGAGGAGGAATAGTTCGAGACGCGGATCCAATGCGAGCAAGGACACATCGGCATGGTCATTAGACGATATGCCGTAGCACTTGTATTTGGCTGTATTTCTTACATATTTTGTTGCTTAGGGATTGATTACCAATAAAGTTATTTGTCTTGTATAATTCCAAGCTTTCCATGCAGCCCTTGAAGCCCTTTTTTGGACTTGGTCGGTGCCAAATCGCATAATACCCTTTTTCCTTGCCTTATCCCCGACCAGAATCCGTGTACTCGCGTTGCCCTTCGCCAAACCGGCCATGTAGCCCACCCCGCCTCGTATGTGTATGTATTTAAGGGTATAAGTCTAATGTGTACAGAGAATGGAACCATAGCCAACAATCCGTCTATCCAATATGTTACAAGATCTCGAATCAAAGACTTAATTGAAATGCAAGGGTATCTTGAAGGAAGGTCTGGCCGTCATATATAAATGAAAGATTATATCTCTTGACAGCTTATCGTAAGATAGATGGACATAAAAGGCCAAGAAGACACAGGTCTACCTTGTGTCCTTGGCAGCCATCTGCATCCTCCGTAGCGCGTCGCGGTGAGCCTCAAGGAGGTCACCACGCCTCATACGCTCGTCAAACGCTTGGTCGGTGCGCTCTTTCTCCCACCTCGCCATCTCCCTGCGTTGCGCCTCAGCTTGTTTCTGGTTAAGGAGATAGCTTCGCTGCGCGTCGATGCTCTGCCGCACGTCGCTTTCCCCGCCGTACGGCACAGCTAGTGATGGAGTAGAGGCTCCCAGCAGACCGGTGCCTGTGACAAGAGGCGTCTCACGTCCCGTGGCTGCCAGGCCGTTCTGAGCAGTTGGCGTTGCGGTGCGCAAGTCAGCAGCAACCGACTCACGGAAGCTAGCGAGCTGGGCGGTGCGCGCTGCTTGCGTAGGGAGCTTGGATACGCGCTGTGGCTGGTGAGAGTCGAATGGTGTCGAGTCGACGTTAGCCGATAGCGAGACGCCCGATGCTGACCGTAGATTGGGCACGGCACTCGAAGGGCGTGAGACCAAGCTGGACGAGCTGAGTATGCTATTCTGACGCATCAGTTCGCGACGCTGACTGAGCGGTAGGTCATCCGCGTCGACGACTAGGCTCTGACCGCTCGCGGCGCCGAGTGCGGCAGCATACATAGGGTAGTTATGCATGGAGCCCGCGTCGCTTGCTGGAGCTGAAGGGATCATAGGCAGTGTGGACATGGAGGAGTCGGCTCGAACCAATGACCCGTATGACTTGTTTCGAAGAAGCATCTCACGCTTGCCTAGCAGAGTTTGGGGGCTCGAATAAGACACAATTCCAGGAACCGGAGGGCGGAAACCAGGCATATCTGCCGCGTCGTACGGTGTCGGCGATGAGTTCTTCGAGTTGGCGCCGGAGCTGTTGCCCTCTTCCTGGATGGCTTCCGGTGGACTGCCCGAAACCTCTACATCACCCTCTTCAGCGATGGGCTCCGCGATGACGCCAGATGTTCTCCGATGGAGGTTTGTAGACATCGACCTATGTGCAAAGGTATGTCCACCAAATGGATTTGCAGGTCCACTAGTAGTTGGCGAGGACGCAGAACCGGTGATCCGCCCCTGGCCGTTGAGAGCAGCAGCGGCTGCCTGATGAGCGGCAGCACGTGAGTCTGATCGTATCATAGTTGGAGATGCTACATGATTTGATAAAGTTGTAGCAGATCTTGGCATAGCTGGTGGAGGTGCTCCAGTATCTGCCGTCTGTTGGAGCTCTTCCACCATTACTGGTGCAGGCTTTTCCTGATCCTCGGACTTGCTGGTCTCTCTCGACTCCTCAGAAAGTTGTAGGCTTTCTGGCTCTGGAGCCTCCGCATTGCTGAGATGCTTTGCCCACTCATTCGTCCGGTAAGACATGGCAACTCGGGATAATGATCGAGGAAGGCGATCTTTTGTCAGGCTTGTAGGCGCCGAGTCCACAGAGGCAGTCGATTTTGCGTTCTTGGATTCAACTTGCTCAACCTCAGCGCCGCTTACAGATTTGCCCTTCTCTGTTGAGATGCCCTCAGTCTTCTGCACTTCAGTTGTAGCGGATAGTGATGACCGAGGACTGGCAGACTTGGCTATTTCTGACGCGAGGCTTTCAGAAGCAGAAACAGGTCTCTTGCCGACCCCCTTTGCGTTGCTTGGGAGTTGCAATAATGCGGGACTGTTCGGGCTGGTGACATCAGAAACCTCATCTCCTGCCTTATCTGCGAGCTCAGCTTTTATTTCAATTTTCCTTGGTTGCTTTTCATCTCGGACAGTAATATCATCGTCGCCAGTAGAGCTCATCCCGTCAATGGTCGCGGCAAGAGAATCGTTATCGTCTTCATTTTTAGCTCTGGGAAGAACGAGATCTTCTTGGCTCTCTTCTGGCGTTTGAGTCACGGTCGGCGACTCTTCAGGTTTCAGACTTCCCTGGGACTTCCTCTGCGACAATCTCCGGAGAAGATCCACGGAGCCCACTGACAGTCTGTTAGCAAAAGAACTTCGCTTGCTTCGGACGTCATCGTCGTCTGCAAAGGTGGCAATCGAAGAGCGATCGTCGTCATCGCGTTCTTCAGGGATTGTGAAGGGTAATGGGACGACTTCCGGTTGGGCTGATGCCCTTTTGCTTCCCAGACTGCCAGTTGACGACCTGTTGACTAGACGGGCCTCTCCATCTGAGCCTACCATCCACACCTTTTTCTCGCTCTCTGCGGGTTCATTGATGACAACCTCAGGCACATCGTCTGGTGCAACTCTAACAGTGACTGTTCCAGCTTTCTCATCTCTGCTGATCACCGACTCAGCTGGCGTTTTGAACTTTGGCGGCACTTCAGGCGGCATATCGTCGTGCGTCATTTCAGACATTTCGATAGGCTCGTCCACACCCGATGTTCGCCGTGTCACCGTGGTGCTAATGCTATGCCGCATTCGCTTCTCATTGTCTAGGTCACCGACTCCTGAATCATTGGAGGCGCTAAGGCTTCTCTGACCTTGTTCGCCCTCTCCATAGACGGCCTCCCATCGGTTCCTCTCCCGGGCATTGGCAGCCTCGATCTGTCTCCCCACATTCTCTTCCTCCTGTTGTAGCTGTCTCTCATCTTCGGCGTGTGCTGCGTCCTTCTTGGCCCGATGCTCCTGGATGATTTTCCAAAGTCTCATCTGAGACACGACACCCGCCAGAAAGATGATGACAGTTGCCGCAAGCTCAACACGTATGCCCTTGGTCAGCGGGTAGGTGTCCGCACCCAGAGGGAATAGATTGTCATTCAGATCCCAGACGTAAGCCCAAAACTCCTTTAGGCCAGCGCGGCTGAGAGAGTCGATCCCCAAGACGGTCGCGGTCGCTCCGGCAAACGCGATGCAGCCGATCAGAGAGTAATGCCTCGTGAAGCGACTGAAGTAGAGCGAGAAAGCCACGAGAGTGAAAGCAGCAATGAATCCGGCCTTACCGCCAGTGGAGCCAATGAGGCCGCCCTCCTTGAGCGTCAAGAGCCACATGCTCAGACAGAACCCGCCCAGAGCGCAGCCAAGGCATTCTGTGATCTCCTTGAAGACGATGGCGCCTCCTCCTAAAATGGCCCCAGTCCCAACGCATGCTACGACATATGCTCCCTGGACAGCATTGCTGACGGGTGGGTTCATGACATAGACAATGAGGATAGCAGTCCCCAGGCCAGCCAGATAAGCGGTAGAGAAAAAGGTATGCAACCACTGCTCCTTGATACCGATGAGCGTGTATACTGCGCCGGTAAGGAGTAAGATCACCCCCGCAACCGCCCATCCGGGTGTTATTTTGGGTTGGATTGGAAGCTCTCCGGCAGGAATTGTTGCTAAGAACGGTAAGCCTCTATTTTGATATATTATACAAGGCTATTTCGACTTACAGTTGAAGATCGTCTCGTTCAACGTTGAACCCGAGCCATTCGCGAGAGTGGACGAAGGCGCAAAGCTCGAAGTAGTCAACGTCGAAGTCACATTCTTGCTTGTGACACTAGCAGTGGGCTCCACTGTACTGCTCTCTGAGGGCGTTGTGGTTGTTGACTGGACATCATCGCCATTCTCAATTGTGGTGGGCGCCAAAGTCGTTGTCACAGGCGAATCCTGTCTTCGAGCTGGCTGTAGGAGACCTGCTATGGCGAGATTTAGGTAAAGGCTGAGGCATAGTACGGCCCATAGCCTAGAGCCTTTGAGCAACATCTTGCCTGCGTAACGTCCACTCAATATAGCACCTTGGTCTGCACGTCAGCCACTGTGGTACGGAGTGTGACTGAGGAACTGGCGAACTCAAGCTCGGGCGTGAGACATCATAGGCGGCAACAGGTTTGAACGACGAAGCTGTGGTCTTGCCAGAGCGCGAGGCGATCCAATGGCTTGACGCTGGCTGGCTAGTGTCCAGGTAAAACAGAATATGCCTCTTCGATCTTATTAGAGGAGAGAAAACACCAGAGGTATAATGGAACGTGGGAACGACAGGGTCATAAGATGGACGAGGGGCTTGTTGGTCTAAGGTAGGGCTAGAATAGGCATGCCCCAGCCGGAGAAGGAAACCGGGATATGAACAAGGTAGGTCCTAGCTGTAGAGGGGAACGAGTGGTGATCAAACCGGACGCGAAGAGTGATATAACGAAAGCGGCAGAGCGAGGAAGCGAGTGTAATGCGGAAGACTACTGAGGTGGTCCGCCTGCAGCAGTCATATATGAAAGAACTCTCTCTCGTATGGACAGATGACGCACCCTGACGAGATAAATGGGCTTGACTGCGTCGTGCTTGATCAAGGAAAGGAGGGACGAGAGGAAGAAGAAGGAAAGCCAACACCCAGGCTAGAAGAGCCATGCAGGAGCAGTAACAGCAGCACATCGCGGGGTTACCTAACCGTCACAAAGTCAATTTCATTTTCTTTCGTCCAGCTGCTCTGCCGAGTTGACGACCAAAGCACTCGCCAAGGCACCACAAAGGCATGATCCGACTGGACGGGCCAGAGGCCGGGAGATTACCATGAAAGTATACAGGGAACAGAAGTGGGAAAGCCGCGAGGCGTAGTCCATGTGCGGAAACCGCTAGGAGATTTTACAAGGCGGCCGGGGTGGTTAGTCTGCTTGGGACATGTCGCGGTTAGCGAGTGACAAGAGTCACAGGAGAGACGTTGGATGAAAATCCGAGGCGCCTCCATCCCCAAATTGGCTGAGCAGGGATCCGGGCCATGCCTGAATGATTCGCTGGGGGCATGGGGCCACACTGTGCCTGACCACCAGCTGGCCCAAGTTGATGTGGTTCGAGGCCCAAACAGCTGGTGCCGAAGTTCCTATTACAGCTATTGCAAGATGACCTTGCCGACTGCCCCTGGCTGAGGCTTTTGTCGTAGGCGCAGGAGAGGTTAGACGAAAAAGCAAATAGGAAAGAAAAGCGAGAGGAAGTTGTAATTGCTCGCTCGTCGGTATGACGATCAGCAGCAAAGAGACACAGTCAAGACAAAGCAAGACACGGCCATTGACAGCAGATGGCTGCCCACCTGATCGTAATGTGTGGAAGAGAGGCGTAGAAGCTGGCCCGAAAGAATCTGAAGAGCCAGAGACCCATAATCGGTGTACATGCATGCCATCACGTAGCAACGGCCGGGAAGCGGAAAAGAAGCATGTAGCGTGCCTCTGCCGATGGAGAGAATACAGTAGCACATGCAGGCTAAATTACGTCTCCAGTTTCGAAGCGAAAGCTTTCCCGCGCATCGATCCCTGACCTGGAGCCGTTTGCAGATGTGTGTGTGAGTGCGAGGAGAGAGAGCTTGGCTTCTCCTTCGCCAATCAGCCGAGCCAATTCGGCCATTTTTGTTCCTGATGACGCCTTGTGGGCTCTTTCCCACGGGCTCTACTGCACGAGCGAGCACTAACGTGAACCTCCGCGCGCCCGCCGTTGCACATCAAAATAAAGCTGCCAACTTCCTGATGAATGACTTTGGCGTTGTAATTAGCAAACGCGCAAAGAAAAAAGAAAAAACTTGGAATATGCCCGCCGTTGCCGTTTCTCGCGTCGTCGTGTGAATGGACAACCAGAATCCAGTCTCGAGGGGCCGGCAGTCCGCTGGTGTATCCGGAACGTTTGCACCGCAGACAAGACACTGACACCACCGTGCATGGGCTACCACCAAGTTGAGCCAAGCCCATCCGACGAACGCGTGGTGAAGAGACACCAAACGCAGCGCTGATAGGAAGATGCAAGACGCGCGCTGATGCAACCCTCGGTGGGAGAAGTGAGGTTGCTGCAGCGCAACCCTGCAACGCAGGCTTTCCGCGACCCGGCCCAGCTCTCCTCAACTCTAAATCGCCGATTTGCAGGTCGCAATATCCTGTTTTCGGCTCTTGACAACGCACTCAGCTTCAGCTAGCCCGTCACGATGACCGACAGACCGCATCATCAAGCTTCAATCATCACCAAGTGACCCAAAGCGGCGAGAGCTGATAAGACTGACAGCTTGTCAAGGCCAATAGCTGAATCTGAGTTCTAAAGTTGTGGGGACGGCGAATGGATGGTAAGGAACAGGAATAGCTTCAAGTTGGTGGTCTGTAAGTAACTAGGTACCCTGATATCATGGTACTTGAGCTTCTCCACGCGGCGTCTAGGAGGAACCTAGTTAAATTAGGGGTCCACACCACCAACGTCCTGTCTTGGGAGCTCTACGCGGGCCGCATGCGTTCCTCCTACTCACCTAGGAAGCATCATGAGAGCCTCAGAGACGCTGTGGCTTGCCGTACTCAAGTGCCAGGATTCATGCATTGATTCATGTCTCACCCTTCAGCTGCAAAGGGGCAAACGGCCATAGTGGGGAGCACTGGCAGGCTGAGACGATGAAAAGGAGCCGCTTAAGGTCGAACACGCCTCAATTTTCTCCGTCTCGAGGCTGAAGGCTCCCCGCAGCAAGGGTCGAAGTGTCGCATGAATGTGGCTCTGTTGAACTGGCTTCAACCCGCCGCATTTGGACGAGCAGTGCCTCAGCGCATGAACGCTCAGCATCGCGCTCTTCGTATTCAGCAACGCTGTACTCCCAACATTCTTGACTTTGACTTGCTCTGCTTCGGTTGCACGATGCCGTGATTTCTACATCAAGCAAGACAGACTCGTGTAATTCCGGCATTCTCAACGAGTTGTGCTACCTTTCTCAGCTTGGACACTCACACTTTTGTAATCAGAGACGTTCCTCTCAGCTGGCGTACGCACGGTAGCGGGCCCCCCATGTGCTCCACTTGTACTGTATCAGTTGTTGATCGGATAATCGGTTGGCAGCGTTGTATGAGAATCGATCCTCGATCCGCTCTCCCAAAGATCTTGCTCCTCTCGGCGCACCTTTCCTTGACGAGCTGCATTCAATTTGGTGGGGCCTTCATGCCATTTCAGTGCTTTCCAGATGCTGTACAAACTGTGACTTTCAACAATGCGTAAATGGCATCTGATGTCTCGCAATGGGTAACAATTCCGCGCTGTCTTCAATCTTTCTTCAAATTGTTAAACTGGATCCGGCCAATCTGGATAATATGCTCCTAATTATACGATGTTCTTAAGGATCATAGCTTCATTCCACTTTCCAAGTCTCTGGATCGCAAGTTGTTTGAGATGAACGGCACGGGAGACGGCTCAATGGCAGTAAAGTCCCAGATCTGGTTGATTCTATTAAGCCGAACGAACCCTCTCAGCTGTATCTCATCTCCTCTACGTCAAACAACGTCTACGCTTCACATGCTAACATGCCAGACTTTGAGTGATTATCGGGTCGTACAATTATAGCCATTTCTTGAATTCCGAAGAGAACCCACATAACATATATGTTACTTCAATAAAGTTTGCATCAGCCTTTTAGCAAAGACATATCAGCTTGTAAGAATTCCGCTCAGTGCTCACCGAGCCCAGCATCTTCGTGCGTGGACACCGACCAAGCACATCCTATTCCATTGCCCTGAGACCTTGTACCCCCAAGTGAACTCCTTGCCGTCTCCCATCCTGTAACCTGTTTGCTTGGTATCATAATCCCGCCATGAATAATACATCCGCTAAGAATAATCGTATAGAGAGAGCTTTTGAACGCGGTAGGAGAGATTTCATGATCATTTTGACCCTAGCGATACCTAAGAAGGCAGCCGACTCTTGTTCCAGCCAAGCTCAACGTTTCGAAAGTCGTGATGGCACACGATCACGGTCCCTTTCGCGCTCCCGGTCCCGATCTGACCCAGGCCGTGAGTGGCTCGCCGGCTTCCGGGTTCGTGAGCCTCTGCCACCGTGTTCCTGTTGCGGCTTCTTGCGGAACAGAACAGCCGATACGGTACGGAATGGCAGAGCAACCAACTTGATGATGCTTTGAAATGGTAACAATATCAAAGTGACGACCCACTCCATAATCCAGCCGGCAATGTTCCACTGTGAGTTACTGTTCTTCGCAGCAGCTGCCGCCAGCGAGATGGCGTCGTTCAGCCTCGTGTCGATGGCTGCTAGCCGTGACTCCGTCTGGAAGGCAAGGACAGTTGCCTTCTTTTCGTAGCGCCGCACGGCACGGTTCAGGGCGTCGAGCTCTGGCTGAATCGCATTGCGGACCTCTCGTATCATGGCCGCTTCCTGCTTGCCCTTGGACGGCGGGCTGTTCCCATTTTGCGTGTTCTGAGCGTTTTGGCCGAACGGTGAGTTCTCTGGCATGACACGAGACTCTAGCTCCTGTAGACGTAGAGTCATTTCCTCTAGCTGCGTTGTGTCCTGTTCTTCTTGCCTATAGGGGTTTGCATTCACTACCCGTTGCAGGTGTAGCGTCCTGGCCTGTATCAGTTTCATCGCATGAGAAAGTGGATGCAGCTCTGCCGCGAGCAAAAAGATCGAGATGTTAAAGTTGTTGACCAAGCCCTCAGAGGGTCTGCTGAGCTGTGCTCGGATGGTATGTAGTAGATATGCTCCGATGACAGGGCATATGAAGCAGGAGCCCAGAGCCAGAACCTCGTGTATGTAGAGTTCATTGAGGGCTGCCTCCAGCGATCTCGTACGGCGCGGATTGGTATGTGCTGGCTTTGTGTCTTGAACCTGTGGCGATCCTTCCTCGGGGACATCGTCTAGAGTTCCTCCTGACAGCGGAACCGGTGGCCCACGAGGACTGTATTCCCCTTCGCTGTCGTCGTCAACTGCGAGATCCATCATCATCTCCTCCCTAACTCGGACCTCTTGCGCTGCGTGGTACCACTGCCTGTCATATGTGTTAGCATATACTGATATGATCGTAACGGGGTCTGTGAAGAGCTCACCAGGGCTGCATGACGGTATAACGGAGGAATATGGCAGCCAGGCCGAGTAACATAACATCCGTGATAATTGCACTGCCATTCTGGAACAGAACGCCACCGAGGGCAGGTAGTAGTGCAAACGCTAGAGGCAAGGTCGCTCTCGTCGAGCCCTCCTGACTATCAAGGTTCGTGCCCCGCGGGTTCAAAATATCATCTGTACTGTCGCGCAAGCTCTTGCGCGCCTCCCCCAAGCTGTAGTCTGAGAAGTTGGAGCTTCGCCGGCGCGGCGAGTCGAACGATGTCTCGGTCGCGAGCTGGCTCAGCAGCGGTCGCCGTCTGAACTGCGTCGTCTCATCGATGGTTGCCGCGCGCCGGAATGCATGCCCGGGTGGCGGCGTTGCGGGCAGGGCGGAGGAGGACGACGGCGCGGTCCCGCCAGCCCTGGACACGGCCGGGCTGACTGCAGGGCTGGGGTTGTCAACGTGCGCGACGCTGGGTTTCTCATCGGCCATCGCCATGGCGGTGGTGGTTTCGCATGGACGCTTATATGAGGTTTCGTGCCTGGGGATCAGATCGATCTCTAGGATATGCGCCCGAGGTGGGGAGATCCCCTTGAGGTGGGTGCAATGCGTGGGATGCTCGTCATCAATACGCGATCCCAGTAGCTGAGCTGCTTAACGGGTGACAGGGGCGCTACCGAGCTGACCTAGTGTACGTCGCTACGTCACCCTGTCTTACACCGATTGAACCAATGAAGCGCCCGGAGTCAATGGAACTGCGTCTGCAAAGACACCCGACACTCTGCGATTGGACTATGTTGTCAGGAACAGCTATCATCCCCTGGTAGACTCTTTAGCACTTCAGGTTGTAAGTGCTAATGGTTTCAACCCGCTGCACAATGAATAAGGCGCTTCCAGCATCAAGGCTCTTGCATACTATACAATCATCTCGATTCTCCCGGAGGTGGCTAGTATTCATCCCCAAGTTGTACGAATACCCGAACAAGACTAAATGTGCCGCTTTGCCAAATAGGAATTTGGAGGACGGCCGAGGGTCCCGAAGTAGGTGAGTGTCCTTGGAAGGCTTAGGCCAGAGGCATAAGTGACATGGGTTGTGGGAATCCTCATCAAACTTCCGAAATGCAACAAGTCTTCTCGAAGAAATGAGCTTGTTGTCGACAGAAAATGGTAGCTGACACGAAAGGGGCAAGCCAGTGCATAAGCAGGACACTCCCAATCTCAGTACGACACGTTGAATTCAGAGCTTCACAGTGATGTTGACAACGATATGACTGTCGGAGTTAGACTGAGCCTACAGGTGATCCAGGGGTTGGTAGGATATAGCTTGCCGACGGGGCTATACTGATGGACCTCATCTAGCGTTCCCAACTGCTCGGGAGCGTCGATGTCAGACGACATGGGCCCTAGACATTGCTGAAGGAAGTAATGTATCTCGATTTTCAAGAGCATTCGCTGTTGATGCAACCTTAGAGACGATTCTTCTTCCATCTATTGATGGCCCGATAAGCAGGTCCAAGTCTGTGGATTCTTAATTCTAGAACCTGAAGAGGCGTCTAGAATATAAGTGAGGGAAAGTAGGTTATGCAACATGCAACCCCCCCACACACACACTCATCACTCATTTTCCCAGTCTGAAGCAAGCCTTTAATGATCCATTATTCTCCAATTCTCCGTTGCGATGATGTGGTCAGCCGAGGAAGGCAAACTGGACGCGCTGCAATTTGCCTTGAGTGTCTTGTGATCCCGCTGGCTATCCTACAAAGGATACTATGTCGACGGATAGCCATGTGGCGATTACATGTATCCTCCGCACAGACAACTTGGGACGAAGGCCATTGCATAGGCTCTGTTTCAACAGGACCAGAACTGCCTGATCGCCGAGCAAGCACATATCAAGTAGGCAAGGTCTGGAGAGCTGAGGCGTAATTGTGATGCCCATCTTGCGATTTCTTGCCATGGTGAGACGCAGGAACAGCTTTCAGACGAAGCCTTCGAGCCCGTTTTCAAGTCTTGACCGGGAGCTTGCCTGCATATTTAGAGAAGCCACCAAGCAAGGTAGGCTCCCGTGAGACCGGGGCCCAGCTGAAGTGACGATCCAAGCAAACCCTGTCCAATAAATATAGCAGACAGGCAGGCATTGGCGTCCTGCCTTGATCCGGGGAAGAAAAGTTTTCGAAATAAAGCACAATTTAAAGCTCCACTACTTCGCTGAAGACTTCAATATATGAGACCAGGCGACGGGTTGCGCATGCTTTCGGACACGCCGTGGTGTTTCCCAGTTGCTGCCCAGGGGCTTATCCTGTCTCTTCCTCGAGCTGATATCTCTTTTGTCTACCACCCACCCTCTTCACATCACATCGGTTTACTTCACTTTTAAACACCTACTCAGTCTTTATTGTAGGCAAACTCGACGACTTCCCGTGCGCTCAGCCCATTACCAGTCGACCCAATTGTATCCCGAGCAGATCACCAGCGGCGACGGGAGCAGAAGAAGAAAAAAGATTGGGGTTGCCAGCAGCACGCAGGCTCGAGGGCTGCGAGCGTGACTGCCGGCTCAGCAGCGTCCCATTATGCTGGAATTTGGGGTCCTTGCTAACCCCCATTCGGCGAATCCCCTGATTAACAGCAGCAAGCCCAGCGGCCCCAGCCCTCATCCAGCCAGGCCAGCATCGAAGCGAACGACGGCTGAGCCAGTCACCGTGCTAGGCCTGCCTTTGCTGCTGCAAGCACTCCTGCACCTGCGCCTGTGCCTGCGCCTGCATACCCACAAACCCTCAATCCACCACCAAGCCCACAAGGACCAGTGTGCCCTGCTAACGCTGTTGCGTTTGCCATTGCTGCTGCTGTTGCTATCAATAATATCACGGCTATTAAGACTCGAGAATTGCCTCTCCTCTCCTTTACGAAGACCGTCGCTGTTGCTACGCTGCGATCGCCCGGACCACCGCCCGAACGAGACTCTCGACCGTTGGCAGCGAAAATCTCCACTTTCGCCCTTTCCACAAAACATCGGCTCCTCCTCCTCCTCCCACGCGCAGCTGCCACTGCCACGGCCATTCGCACGGCTACAGCAACCCAACAGGCGAGTCGAGGAGGGCAAAAAAGGGCATCCAGGGAAAATATCAGTGCTACGGGCCGACCTTCTCAGCTGTCTACTGCAGCAATCGAGTCTCTTCAGAATCAGGAAGGCCGTCTCACCGGCCGCCTTTGAAGGGTCTTTCCCACGGCTTCTCACGCAGCTCTCGCAAAGCCTGCGCAGTCGATCCAACCATCCGCCCTGACGCCTGATGAGATCCCGAACCTGCATCCATCGGCAAACCTGAATCTAGATGCCCCTGCGCCAGAGAACAACCCGCGCATCATTTCGCCCTCTCAGCAGCCAACCTATCCCGGCGCCTCAACCCCAACCCCGGAAGTGCCAATAGCCGCCCCATCTGCCCTGCATCATTATCGCCGTGATCAGCCAGCGGCATCTGGTCCCAGTTTCCTGCGAAGGGCTTACGCGCCCCAGCTTCAATCGCCCTTCCGGAATCGTGCAGCCGCAGCCTCCAACACCATCCAGAGACCCCTCCGCCGGCTTTCTACCGCCAGACTCTGGAATCCGACCAACTCGACCCCGAGGTTGCCCAACTCCAACTCCAACCGACGCCGACGTACTTCCACACCCCCGCCGCCCTCAATCCCGCTTTCGCACCCTGCTCTCAACACTTCCACCGATCCCACTGACCCTGTCGGCACAGGAGCTGGCGATTATCCCCTGCTGACTCTTGCCGAACAGCGTCACAGCAGGCATTCCTTCTCTGGACGTGGAAGTCTTCAGGTCGAACGTACCGGAGGCGGAGATCGGGTTAGCCTACCGAGATCTGTTCGACATTCGTACGACGAGAAGCGAAAGAGTATCACGCCCTCGCCAACCGTTGAGGCCGGTCCATCGACAATCAAACCTGCACCACTACGACAAGAGACAAAGGAGCCATTACAACCGAGAGTTACTGGCTTGAGGAAGAGGGGCCAAAGCGTCAGCCATCCTAGAATCTCTGTCGGCCTTGTTCGCGAGGATCGCAAGTTTAGTCCAAGAAAATTAGACAAGGGCAAAGGAAAAGCAATCATGCCTCACGCAGAGAGTGAAGATGACCAGGCGCGATCCTACTCCAAGGATCTCGAGCGCGGGCCAGATGTCCTTCCACGACAGTCGACGACCTCAATGCCCGATGTAATTGGATCTGCTATCTCATCATCGAACTCATCTATTATGGGAGACCCAGATCAACAAGCTGACGATGAAGAATGGGGTCCGCAACACCCATGCTACCCCCATCTCAACCCTCATGTGCCTATCGATTCTCCAGAGTACGTCACGACCCGCATCATCAGGGTAAGGCGAGACTGGTTGCTCGAAGGCGATTTGGCACCCACCTTTTCGAACATGTATCCCGAAATTCTCGACCCGGCTGGCTTGTCAGAACAAGAATTCCGCCGGGTTATAGAGAAGGTGAATGCAGTCCTTGTCCCGACCTTCAACCCTTATAGCTGGAGGAACATCATCGACGGCATTTTAGGCGTCGCAACCGGTTGGCTCTGGGAAGATTTTGGCTTCACCAACGTCAAGTCCCGATTGCAGAGCCTCGAGAAATGGATCGAGAAATGGAATATCGAAATGGAGAAGACACTTGGTACAGAAGATGGCGTTATTCCTCCCAAGATTGTTCCTCTACGTCGTACGGCATACATGACAGTAAGTTCATATTTGTGTAATTCTTAAAAGAACGACTCAAATACTGATAGTGGAACAGCTTGATATCCAGATCTTCGATCCAGAAATTTTACCAGCTCAAAGCACACCGGTTGCTTCACGATCTGGTATTCATATCGAACCATCCACAGCTGCTGTATCATCATAACATTCAGCATTTCCTACTGTCAACCATTGTTCCAAGTTCTACTTTGCTTCTATAATCCCCCTTTTTTTCTCATATGTCTTTTTAATTGGGCTACATGGGATGAATCATGAACATACCGGGAAATTCTTAGGCTCTTGACATTGTTTTATATGGGCCTTGTTTCTTCATTCAAAAAGCGTTGTCTTCTCGGCCGCTGCTCTGCTTGATTATACCACCTCATAAGCATCGGCGTTTTGGTTGTGTCTGCCCTAGACCATTGTCTAAAGCTAGGCTTGCTTTGCAGCAAGACTTTGGCAGGGCATTTTTGTCAGGAGTGTTTCTGTTAATTTCGAAGGGTGTGGGAATATTGTCGGGATCAGTGCTATTAGACGACATTGTCTTCAGGACATGGGCTGGGGGGCTTTCTTCGAAGCCAGGGCCAGCCCAGGCAGGACTATTATGATTAAGACTTGGGCATTGTATATTTGGGAAAGACTAGAGAACGCATATTGATTTTCCTCGAGTTCCCTGGATACTACCTAGAGGTTCTATGACAAGGTTGAGACAGTCCTAGCTGTGATACCATGTTGCTCAAGGAGAGCTGCCATCTGTTCCTGGGGCTTCAGTGGGTCCAAGTGGGTTTGAGCCTCATGAGCACAGTGACTCATCTTTTGATCCAACTAGGTAAGCACGAACCTAATTGCATTATGCTAGCGCTTTCATCCTACGCATGCTGTATCGTGAATTTCGTCCCACGGCCCCTGCCCCTTTGGGACAGTCGTCACCCACCCAAGTGAGGGCGTTCTTCCCTGCTCGTAGGTCTTGCCTCATTAATGATCTCTGGGCCGTCAATTGAATAACAACAGCTGCTTGGCGCAGCGGAAGCGCGGTAT